AAAATTGCAAAAAATGTCAAAATCTGCAACTTGCGTGGGTACCCGCGTAAACGTTGCGCAACCCAACCCTACCCGCGCAAAATCCAAGCTCAAATTACCCCCACACGAGTTGAATTCTGATGTATGCGCGCGGCTGCTTCCCCCCCCCCCCCCCCCCCCCCCCCCGCGCAAAGTTTGTGAGGGTACCCGCGCAAAGCTTGCGAGACTGCCACCCACCCGCGTAAAGTTTGCGAGGGTACCCGCGCAAATATGCCACTTCATAAGAAAATTTCGAGCCATTTCATATGCTTCCTTTGCGCGACCAAGCTTTCATCCATGTGTATTTAGGTGGCCAAGAACTCCAACGACACATCATTGTATGACCCATGTGTTGCTTCCATACCGTCCTTGCCGGCCTCCTCCACCTTGATCCCGGTATGATCCTTCCTTACTCTCATCCTAAGCATTGAGGACAATGCTTAATTTTAAGCTTGGGGTGAGGTATTCTTTATCTTTTATTTTTTATTGCATTTAGGTTGTATATTGTTGCATTTAGAGTAAGTCATTTAGGACATTCATAAAAAATTGCATAAAAAAATCCAAAAATATTGCATATTTTCTTTCTTTCTTTTCTAATTTTCATATTTTTTAGATGCATTCTAGTTTAAGTTCGTGCATTTTTCTTATCTCTTGTCTTCTCATCCCTACAGGTACCATAGCGCCGAGTCATAAGTATTGAATCATAGATTGGTCCTGGGTCTTAATATGGAATTCCTTGTATTGGATAAATGGGACACGTTTTGAGCCTCACAGACCACTTTGAGACCGCTTGTGTGGGGGTCAGATGCAGGTAGCTTGATTGGGTCTAGGTACGGAAGGATGTGGTTGGTCATGCCAATGTGTGCGAGCAAAGATTAGCCCGGTAAGGTATTTTGAAGACATTGAAGATATTAAAGACTCGCATCTTGGTTTTGAGGGGAGTACCCCTTAGTACTCCCGAGTCTCGTCCGAGCCTTACTTAGTTAGATTCTCACCACTTTTTTAAGATAGGTCATCATTTTTCTAAGGGTCTAGAGTAGATAGTTAGATAGATTTTGTTTATCACACCTTTCATTGAGGTGCTCGATAAACTTTGAAGTGGGTCCCCCAATTCACATCTTTTGGGACCAAGTTTTTTTTTTTCGGTAACACCCATTTTTGAGTCATATCCCACCCTTTTTAGTTGATCTTGGCACATTGTCAATGATCATTAGGTGTTCATGTTAGCCTCCATCCTATGTTACATGGTGAAATTCCTTAGACCTTCCAAGAAGAAAAACACAGAAAAATGAAGAAATTGGAAAAGTGAAGATAAAAAGAAACAATGAAGAAGATTAAAGAAAAGCAACAAAAACAAAGAAGAAAAATGAAGAAAAAGAGCAACACAAAAAGAAGAACAAGAATCCAAGTTCAAGACTTCTTTTCAAAAAAAAAAAACAAGATGTACCGAGACCTGAGTTTGAGTTACTGGTGGCCATGCATGAAGCGAGAAATCGCTTGGTATGTCGAGAGGTGCTTGACCTATAGGATGGTCAAGGCCGAGCATCAGAGGCCGCATGGTAAGCTGCAACCCCTAGAGATTCCCATGTGGAAGTGGGAACAAATCACGATGGACTTCATTACCAAGTTGCCAAGGACGGCGAAGGGATTTGATGCTATATGGGCCATCGTGGATCGATTGACCAACAGTGCCCATTTCTTGGCGATACGGGAGAGTTCTTCGGCCGAGAGGTTGGCCGACGTGTACGTCCGCGAGATCGTTGCTCGCCATGGGGTTCCGGTCTCCATTGTCTCCGACCGGTATCTTAGATTTACCTCCCGTTTCTGGCAGAAGTTCTACGAGGAACTGGGCACGGGGTTACACTTTAGTACAACATTTCATCCGCAGACCGACGGTCAGAGCGAGCGGACCATTCAGACCCTCGAGGATATGTTGAGGGCGTGTGTCATTGACTTAGGTGGAAGCTGGGATTCCCACCTACCCCTTGCATAGTTCACCTACAACGACAACTATCATTCCAACATTGGCGCCCCGCCTTTTGAACTGTTGTATGGGCGGAGATGTCGCACCCCGGTTTGTTGGGGTGAGGTCGGACACAGGGTGATGGGTCGGACGAAGGTAGTCTTGCAGACTACCGAGAAAATTCAACAGATTAGGCAGCGATTGCAGACCGCTCAGAGTTGGCAGAAGAGTTACGCCGACAGACGCCGATCTGAGTTAGAGTTCCAGGTTGGGGACATGGTACTCCTGAAGGTCTCGCCCTAGAAGGGTGTGATCCGCTTCAGGAAGAGGGGGAAATTGGGTCCCCCGATACATTGGGTCGTTCAGGATCATTGCCAGGGTTGGCAAGGTGGCGTACAGGTTAGAGTTACCGGATGAGCTCAGTCGGACTCACAACACCTTTTACGTTTCACAGTTGCGAAAGTGCATTATCGATCAGGAGGCAGTGGTGTCATTGGATGATATTCATGTCGATGAGCGCCTGAATTACGTGTAGAGGCCTGTGGCCATACTGGAGAGGAAGATGAAAGTTCTGCGGAACAAGGAGATACCTTTGGTAAAGGTACAATGGGAGCATCAGAGGGGATCCGAGTGGACATGGGAGCCGGAGGCAGAGATGCGCGAGCACTATCCGGAGTTGTTCACCGCAGCAGACTTCGAGGACGAAGTCTAGTTCAAGTGGGGGAGAATTGTAACACCCCGATTCTCAGGTATTGATTTCTGATATAAGATTTTTCTTGATTTCAAGGTCTACTCGACGAGTTGGTTGCCCGACTCGTCGAGTAGCAGCGGGTTGGTCCACGTGTTTAAGTGACCTACTCGCCGAGTCCAAATAGGGACTCGACGAGTAGGAGCTGGAGGATGAAACCCTAATTTCTGGGGTTTTACACCCTATTTAAAGGATCATTGGCCTCCCCAGCCTCCCCTTTCACAGCCCCTTATCATTCCAAAACCTTAATTCGTGTGAGTGTATTCCATTTGTGTGTCTTAAGCTTTGAAGAAGGATTTTGGTGAGAAAAGCTTGGGGAACAAGTGATTAGAAGCAAGAAACTCGTGGGAATCAGAGATCTACTTCAGTTGGCACTCTTTTGAAGGTATTAAGGTGTTGCCTTGGCTCATTTCTTCCTAGATCTCTTTTGGGTGGATTTTTTTAGGAAGCCTTTCTTGTGTTTGAGCTAAGATCTGAAGTTTCAACTTCATATCTGAGCTCTTTTTGGTCTCTAAGCCCATAAAGTTGTCAAAGTTGGCAAGTATGAACCTCCCCTCAAGTGTAAGACTTCCTTACAAGCTTGGTTTTGTCATTTTAAGACTTTAGAGCTTTGCATACACGTAAAGTTTGCAACTTTACGTGATAAACATGCCTTGGGAAGTTGGATCTGCAATATGGAACCTTAGCATGGCTTAAAAAGCATCTGTATGGATGAAGGACTGAAGGGACTCGGCGAGTTGCATGGTAAACTCGGCGAGTCCGATGAAGATAGTCGTGGGCTCGGCGAGTAAGTTGAGTGAATCGGCGAGTCGGCTAGGGTTTTTCCCAACCCTTGGACACATTTGAACTTGGCGAGTTGTAAGGGAAACTTGACGAGTTGGCCAAGGAGTTTACGACCGCAAACCGTAGGAACTCGACGAGTCACTCTAGTGACTCGACGAGTTGACAAGTTATGCAAGGAACTCGGCGAGTAGCTAAGGGTACTCGACGAGTTTAGGCCAACATGGATTGTTGACCTTGACCTTTGACTTTGACTTTGACCAGTTGAGTTTTGGGGACATTTTGGGAAATTGGAAATTTGTGAACATGGTTTGATGGTAACTATAGGTGGTGGAGTTCGTGTCGGTGATCTGAGAGGTTGAGCTTATCTTTCGAGTCGACAGTTGCGAGGTGAGTTATCCTCACTATATCAACATGGTCTAAGGCACCAAGGCCGACCCTCTATGGATTTGTATCTGGATTATGACATGATATGTTTATTGATTACATCCTGGTAGTCGATTGGGGGTTGGGTTGAGGCGGTCCTGCTTTGTGCTGTAGGCCAACATACCTGGTTTAGCAGTCCGGATAGGCTGTAGGCCCCGCGAGGCGGTCCAGTCATGTCGAAGGCTCGGGAGCGGTCCAGATAGGTTGTAGGCCTTGCGATGCGGTCCAGTCAGGCTGAAGACTCGTTATGCATGTTGTTCTGTAATTGTTGATACGATATGATTATGGTTATATGAGGTTGGTATTTTGGGGGTAACTCACTAAGCTTTCGGGCTTACAGTTTCAGTTTACTGTTTCAGGTACATCAGGGAATCGCGGCAAGGCGAATGCATGATCGTACAGATCCTCATGTTTTGTTTATGTTTCTGGGAAAACTCTGATATGGACTATTTTGAAAACAAATCTGTAATAAATGTTGGTTTTAAATGTTTTGAAAAATTTTGAATTTGGCTTGGATTTTATGGGTGTTATATATATATATATATATATATATATATATATATATATATATATATATATAGGCTTAGGTTATTCTATTCAAACTAAGTATTGTGTTATTGTATGCATAATTGTGGGCCAATCATTTTACTTAATTTTGGAAAGTGAATAATTCATATTATTAAATTAAATATAATAAAAAAATACCATCTAATTTCATTCTAAGGGTATTTTAGTCAATTAACATAAATTTAAAAAAGGAAATTTTCATATTTTAAGGAAAATAGATTCTATTAATTTTATAAATCTGATTGTATGTATGATAATTCTCCTAATTCGAAAATTCTGACGGAATATTTTTATCAATATATTGAAAAATAACAAATACGATTAAACAATACAAGAATACACATTCTGACATAATATATATTTTGATTTAATGAACTTCTTGAAGAATAACAAAATTTTGGATACAAGTTAAAAAAATTTCATTATATTCTTAGAAAAGAATATATATATATATATATATATATATATATATATATATATATATATATATATATACTATTCTATGAGAATGTTACACTTATTAATAACAAAAAAACACAATATATAAATCATTCTACCAGAATATACTATTACATTTTTTTTCATTATATTGTATATTATTCTGGTAGAATAATCCATTCTTTTTGGAAGATCGGTGGTCATTGTTCATCTTCATTCCATACAATGTTCATCTTCAAGATTCTATTCTAACAGAATCAGAATTCCCTTGTTCAACCAAACACCTTGAAGCTTCAAAATTCCCCTGTTCAGATGACAGGGATCCTGATAATTCCACATCTCTTGAGTTGGGAAGCAGAGCCCTTAAGCTGTAAAAGGTTCCATATACACGAGTATTATGTTACTAATTTACTACTCATTTTGAGGATCTTTTGTTATTTTGATTTGGTTATCCAGAAATATCAATTTATAATCTTGAAATTTATTAATTCCATACCTGTTAATGTTAAGGGAATTAGCTCCACCTTCTGGTTGATCATCAATCGATATATCTTGTGATATGAACTTTGCCTTTTTGATGTCACCAACAATCTTTACAGTTGCTGTATATCCACAATGTCTTACAAATACAGTACCCAGGGAGGTGGTGTCCTGTAATTTGTAAATAGTAAAAGTTGGCTATATTTATTTAGATTCCATAGCTAGCAGAAGAATGAGTTCATGCATAATTACATGGACTACTGCATTCTCATCTGCTGTTATTCCTTTGAGTAAATTTGTTATAGCAACTTCATCAGAAGACATGGTAGGAGATCCAACACCAACTACCTTCACTTCTGACTTTGAGCTTGCATCAGCTGCATCACGCCTCACTGTAATAAACAAGTCCCCCACACGATCCTCACGTACTATTGATCCTGGAGAACAGTTTGATGTTGCAACAGAATCTATGATTTTGCGTATGGTTGAAACAACTTTAAAGATAGAGACATCAACAAACAAGCTATGAAGCAAGAATGCCTTTCGATCATGAATCACCCTTTCTTCCTCAGTCTTGCAAGGAAGGTTGGCTAATATTGCAAACTCTGTGGCCCATGGTCTATGGTCATGTTGACCATTTTCCCCTTGGCCTCCACCATTGCCACCCCAGTTTTCATCTTCTGATGGAAGTGGCTGGAAGTTTGATTCTGAGTCTAAAATGGATGGAGGAACCAACCAAGTGTTCGCCCGAAAACCATATGGAAGATTACCAAACTGAAAAAAAAAACATAGTGTCAGTTTCCAATTACACTCTTATAGCATCAATGTAGAAGTATTTCGGATAAGCAAACAAATATATATTGCCTTATTATGTTCTAAGTAGGCTTTCATCAAGGAATCATATACCTGCATAATTTCAACATAAAATTGAGTATTTTTCTCTTACACATTTCTTCCAGTTAATAAAAGAGAGAACATAGAGATGAAGCAGAAAAGGAACTAATATACCGACGTTAGCAAAAGCTTGGCTGAGCTGTTGAAGAAGATCCACCAGGGAATGAGGAACCTGAATCGAGATTAGTACCAGATCCGATAACTCGATAGTAGTGGTGTCATCCGATTGGGGGGGATTGGACCTTGCAGCCGCTTCGTGCTTTCCTTAGCCTGTAATCGATCGACATCCATTGGACCTTGCAGCCGCTTCGTGCTTTCCTTCTCACCTTCATCGATGTACAAATACATGTGTCAACGCCCATGAAATCAGAAATCAAGAAATCGGACTTTCTTTCCCCTTCTTTCTTCATTCGAGCCCTAACTATGTGCGGGTGTGTGTGTATCGTTACTCTTAAATAAGAATTGCAGAAGAACATGTAGAGGCGATAATGGCTTGGTATTTTTTTTGAAGATGGCGAAGAGATGAAGGGAATAATAGCTGGTGTTCAGTCAAGATCCAAACTTTGGATCGTGGTGGCTGAAAGCTTTCGATCAAATCCTACGGGGGGTTTTTCAAAGTGACCTCGGTGGTAATTAAAAGGGGATAAATTAGGTTAAAATCAACTAGCATAATTATAGGAAAGTATTTGGAGAAGTTGTTTATAAAATTACCTAATTACCCTTATTTATTTATTTATTTATTTATATTTTAAATTTTGATTGGCCCACATTTATGCATACAATAACACAATAAATACTTTAAACAATTGAACCTAGCTCTCTCTCTCTCTCTCTCTCTCTCTCTATATATATATATATATATATATATATATATATATTCTTTTTTATACTTGTATGAAAAATACATTGTGGCATTATGAATAATATCAATCGATATTTTACTCCCTTTTTAACTACTATTTTATTTTGTATCGATTGAAAAATGTTACCTTTGACTAATCTTGGTTTTATTTATCAAGTAACTAGTTTCCTATTTAATCTTTCGGTTTCCACTGCTACAATAAAGATGCAATTTTCAATAAAGGGTCTCGTTACAACAATGTTATTGAATATAATATTTCATTCTGATGGACGATATAAGAATATTTCATAATAACTACATGGTTTAGAGTTTTTGATATCATGTTAAATCAAATTTTTTTATGTATAGTTTTGTTTTGAAGTGTTGATTTTCACCCCCTAGTTTTAATGCTCATGGTAGTCCTTGCGTATAATAACGTTTTTTGGAAAAGTTTCAAAACGGAGCAATCTTCTTATTCACGGGTAGTGGCTACAAGATATTGATAACGTTGATCAAGATTAAACATAATAATTTGCATTATGTAAGTATATTTTGGAAGATTATCTACATATCTGATGCCCAGGCATTATTCTTAAATTTATTATTGAACTGAACTTAATTTGAAAGAAGAAGACTTACTATTTATAAGTATCATACCTAAAGTCAGCTCATGTCATCCTTCAAAATGGTAAGTTTTCGGTTCAAAATAAATACGTAAGAAGATGGTAAATGCATGTTAGGTACATCCGCCTAAAAGTAGTTTTGGAGTTACTCGTTTTTAAGCTACGAGCCTACGAGTACAATAAAGATCGATATATCACCATCATAACACCCACACCATTGTTATCGTTATTTTTCTTCCATACCTCACAAATAATTTCGATAGTTACTCATAACAATGGTCCACAACCATTGGTATAGTAAGTCTACAATAGGACCATAACAATCAAACAAATCAACATTCATCTAAAACTAAACTTTTTCCACTTTCTTTGGTTTTATTAGAGGGATAAGAGAATGAAAGCAAAATTAGAACATTCATTAGATAACAATTATATGTATTTAATTGAATCTAACAATAAAGATCATCATATAAAGAAAAATACACTTTCATTACATAATGTATAACTCCTTAATTTATCTTTTTTAAGTTGATTATCTCTTGATTATTGAATAAAGATTTCCACATTGGGATCAATAATTGTTTCAGATATCTAAACTCGGTAGGCCGAACTGCGGAAGACTGACTTAGCTTAATTAAGTCGGTGTTGGATGTGCTTCCTACTTATTACATGTCCCTTTTTAGAGCGTCAGATGTTGTGATTAGACATCTTGATTCCTTACATAATTCTTTTTTCTTGGGGATGATTTGGAAGAAAGGAAATGACTTGGGTTAGTTAGAAGACGGTGGTGGCCCAAAAACAATTTGTGGTCTCGGGGGTTAACAGCTTGTATGCTCTTAATCATGCTATTCTTTTCAAATGGCTGTGGCGTTTTCAGTCTTCTCCTAATGTTCTTTGGGTGAAGGTTGTTAAGGCCATCGTTTAAAAAAGGGATAATGACTTGAAAGGGTAACGAACTTTCGACTTTGTTCACATTTAGTCACTAAACTTTTTTTCGTTATCTATTTGCCACTGAACTATTGAAACTGTTCACATTTTACCCTTATGACCGGCTGTTACCGGTCATAAGGGTAAAATATGAACAATATCAATAGTTTAGTGGCAAATAGATAACGAAAAAAAGTTTAGTGACTAAATGTGAACCAAGTCGAAAGTTCGTTACCCTATAAAAAGTTCAATGACTAAATGTGAACAAACTTCTTCTTGTATTATGTTTTAGCAAATTATTTATTTTTGTTAAATTGTAGCAACATTTGTTGATGAAGAAATCTATGAAATAAAAAAAACAAAACCCCGAAAAATATATTAAAAAAACGAAAAACCAAAAACGAAATAAAAAACCAATGGTTTGGTATTTTCCAAAATAAAAAATCACAATTTTCCAATCTGATTTTGGTTTTACAAAAAAATGAACCATTCTCACTGATGTGAATTATGACCATTGGTTTGGCTTGCGGAATTAAAGAACACACAAAGAACACAGTGATTTGGGTGTTTAAGAGATGCATTCGATTATGAAAGGTGTTTACAAAAAAGGATCTAGATCTAAATCTACATAATTAACACACACTAACACTCTCAATGTTACATCTCTCAAGCACACATTTACATGTGGTATGAACCCACCTTATATAGAGGTGTTTACATGTTTCTCTCTCTCTCTCAATCTCTCATGTCATAAAGGGGGAGTTTTGGATAGAAAATTCTGAATTGAACGCTTTCTCATTTCCTTTTTGGTTTTATAATCATTTTTCGATTATAAAAAGGGGGAGGGATTTAGATATGGAAATCTGAAAGTTGAATTTTTGTAAAACCAAAATCAGATTGGAAAATTGTGATTTTTTATTTTGGAAAATACCAAACCATTGGTTTTTTATTTCGTTTTTGGTTTTTCGTTTTTTTAATATATTTTTCGGGGTTTTGTTTTTTTTATTTCATAGATTTCTTCATCAACAAATGTTGCTACAATTTAACAAAAATAAATAATTTGCTAAAACATAATACAAGAAGAAGTTTGTTCACATTTAGTCATTGAACTTTTTATAGGGTAACGAACTTTCGACTTGGTTCACATTTAGTCACTAAACTTTTTTTCGTTATCTATTTGCCACTAAACTATTGATATTGTTCATATTTTACCCTTATGACCGGTAACAGCCGGTCATAAGGGTAAAATGTGAACAGTTTCAATAGTTCAGTGGCAAATAGATAACGAAAAAAAAGTTTAGTGACTAAATGTGAACAAAGTCTAAAGTTCGTTACCCTTTCAAGTCATTATCCCTTTAAAAAACGTGAGAAACGCACGCCTTGAGGCGTGCCTTGAAGCGAAGCGGTGGTTGATCGAACTAGAGGCGCTGCCTCAGGGGTAAGAATTGATACGCACGCCTCGTACCAGTGAATCGCATAGGAATCGATTGAGGCGGAACGTTTTCCTGATGCGTACGCCTTCAATTTTTTTTTGACTTTTTGACTATTTGACGTCGTCTTCATTTTTAGCTTTGTTTTATTGACCGGTTTTATAATGAAACTGGAAACCCGATTCATTTATTGACCTAATTCACTCATTCGCTCATTCTAAATCGCCGACTTCCTCTTCATCTCAAAATCGCATCCCACTGACTTCTTCGGTTGAATCGGTTCTGCAATTCTTTTGGTCGATCGAAGGTCTGCTCATATTCAAGGTTAATTTTCTTATTCTTCTATCAAAAGCATTTTGTAATTATTATTATTATTATTTTGTTCAGCAATTGATTTCTTTGGGACTGTCAACTGTTATGTATCCAAGTTGTCAACTGTGTAACTTAGTTTCTGCACTTCTTCTGATCTGATTTTGCTGCATTCTATTTACAGTAGGATGTCCAGTAAAGGTGGAAGGTCGGACCCTGCTTGGGGTCATAGTGAAGAAGTAATGGTAGAGGGTCCAAAAAAGGCATACAAATATCTAAAATGTAACTATTGTAGCAAAATCATTAAGGGAGGGGTTCAGAGAGTGAAACAACATCTTGCTTGTACAGACCAAGATGTAGAGCCTTGTCCTAATGTTCCAGAAATAGTGAAAGAGGAAATGCTTCAGTTTTTGAAAGCATTTCAGGCTACTAAATTATCTTCTCGAACAGCCTTTGAAGAAAATGTAGCAAGTGGGGCATACTACAACAGAGGTGGAAGTGTTGATCCATCATTTACAACTGGTTGCAAATGCATCGTGATTTGCATGCGGCTGCCTACTACTTAAATCCACAATATCGATGGAGTCTCAATGTTTCCGAGCATCCGGAGATTAAGCGAGGATTGTATGATGTCATGGAAAGGCTCGTGAAGGTTACGACAGTTTATTTGAAGATTGAAGATCAACTCGTTGCTTACAAAGAAAAAAGAGGATTATTTGGATATAGAGGTTCTTTATCGACATATCAGACACGTCCACCGGGTATATTATTAAGTAGTTTTGTTATTATAGTTATAGTTTTTATTTTATATAAATTACATTACTTATTAACTTTTTTATAAACATATGTAGTTACATGGTGGGGGGAATACGGAGACGATGCTCCGGAACTCAAGTCCTTTGCAATAAAGGTTTTGGGTCTTACGTGTTCCGCTTCGGCTTGTGAACGTAATTGGAGTACGTTCAATCAAGTCCATACCAAGAGACGCAACCGGTTAAACACCGAAAGAATGAACAACTTGGTTTACATCATGTACAATAAAAAGTTGAAGCAAAAGTTCATTAAGAGGACTAAATTAAAAGAAGACGACCCCTTAGTTGTTGAACATGTATTGTCGGATGATGAGTGGATAGCCGCCCCAAGTGATGGTGAGGAAGATGACATTGGAGGTGGCGGGATATTAGGGGAGGAAGATGGCGGGGTAATTGGAAGTGCTAGAGGTGGCAGGGCTATTAGAAGACCTAGAGGTGGCGGGACAATTGGGGAAGGGAGTGGAACTAGGAAAAGGAAAAATGTTCAAGTGAATTTGATTGACGAGGATGACGGGGATGAAGTGAATTTGATTGACGATGATGAGGGTGACCGGTTTGAAAATGATGCGAATGATCCTGATTATTTTATTTGAACTTATCACTTGCTTGTGCTTTTTTTGTGTGTGTTTCCTATGTGGCTGTTTTTTGAAGTTTTAGACTTTGATGTTCTAGACTTATTTTATGTTTTTGAATGTGTTTTTTTATGACTAATGGATTTGATGGTGAAATTAGCTTAAAAAGACATGTTTAGTATATATATATATATATATATATATATATATATATATATATCTATATATATATATATATATATATATATATATATATATATATATATATTGTACTCCGCCTCGGGGTTACGCCTCACTCCGCCTCGAGGCTTACGCCTCATGAGGCGGAGGGAAAACGCCTCAAGGCGCGATTCCGTACTTTTAAACCTTGGTTAAGGCCATTCATGGAGTTCATGGATTGTTTGAGCACACATTTCCTAGGAATGTTTGTAGTTCGATTTGGGTAAATATCATCAAGGCATTGGATAAAAGAACAAAATAAAGGTGTTCATCTCTATTCGCATTGTAAAAAGATAGTTGGCGATGGGTGTTCTACGAGGTTTTGGGATGATATTCAACTTGATGATAGCCTTTGAAGTTGAGATTTCACATCATTTATGCCTTAAAGTTAAACAAGAAAGTGCTTTTAAAATGCAACAAAATAAGTGTTCATGATTCGTTTTGGTGTATTTCTAGAGGAGGGGCCGAGGGGATGGAGTGGGATAATCTTTCTCTTCTTCTCTCCTTGGTGGCTCTTTCCTCTTCAGATGTAGTTGGACATTGATTGGTTCATGTTCCTTTTTAATTGGTTCCGCTTATTTGGAAATTGATATGCAATTTTTACTTGGGTCTGATTCAACGACTAGATGGTGTACTCTAATCCCTATCAAAGTTAATATTTTTGTTTGACGCTTATTCTTTAACAAACTTCCTACCATATCTAACCTATCTAATATAGGTTTGGATTTACTTTCGGTTTTATGTCCTGTGTGTGAAGACGTGTTAAAATTTGTCAGTCACTTGTTCTTTGATTGCTCCATGGCTTGAGATGTGCTGTCTCTTGTGGGTAGATGGTGGAACGTTTCGGCTCTTGATCTTCTTTCTTATGGTTGTTGACTTTCTTGGTTTGCTTCTCTTCATTTGTCCAAGATATGTAAAGACTTTTTGGAGGCAGTCTTCTTCATTTTGTGGTGGCATACTTGATGTTTTCAAAATTCTATATTATTTGGTAGACTTAAACCTAAAAAATGTTTCATGTTCGATAAGATAGTTTCCCAAAGCTTTATTTGTGACAATAGTAGGTGGTAAAAAACCACATGAATTGGTGGGTTGCTGGTCATAGGACCAGTGGCGGACCTTAGTGGGGCATTTGGGGTCTCGGGCCACTGCTCAATTTCCGACACGCAGTGTAAATTTTTTTTTTTTTTTTTTTGTTTTTTCTATTAGGTGCACCCGCTTGAAGTACGATGGACACCCCTACTAAAACAGTATGTGTCCGCCACTGCATAGGACCCAACTTCGACTATTTCCATCATGTAATTACTTTTGCCATGTTCTTTGCTAGTTTAAATAAAAAAATTTGTTCTAAAAAGAAAGGAATGGTAAATAAAATAGTGATTATGTTACACAATTATGGTTATCTATCAGTAAAGAGTATAGACAACCTTCATGTCAGAAATATGTTGAAGTCAATTGCTAATAGAAAAAATCTTTTCTGAATCAACATCAAATGACATGTAACATAAGTTAATAATTACATAAATTCATAATTAAATAAAAACACGATTGTTAAATAAAAGATTAGTTAGTAGTAAATCTATTTATATTTTAGATAATCAATTATCTCCATTAGTTATAGTTATGGCAGAATTTCAAATGAGATGCCATTATGAAATGTACAATATATTTTGGGGGTTAAAAAAAAGACTTATTTGACATTTCTTTTATATTTAACATTCAAAAAATTTAAAAAAATTAAAAAAAATATACTAAAAAACCGGTCCGGCATCTTTAATTATCGATAATTATCATGCTAAATGGCCTCCATAAGTTTATTGCAACTTTAATTGTAGTTACCTTTCCTGGACCGGCATCTAGACCGGTCCCGATCTAAGGCCTATGTCATATTTGTCTCTTTCATCCACATAAATAGAGTAACAGACCACGGTAACTTTTTTGTTTTAATTTCTTTTTAGTTTGTACCCAAATCAGTACAAAAGTTAATTTCACCTCTACCCTTCTCGACTTCAATAAATCCATGGATTCCTGCGAACCCATTTACAGAATCAACAAACATGCCGTACTACCATGCACCAGAAGACGATTCGCAAAGTTTCCCTTTCTTCTTTCACCTCATAATCGTCATCTTCATCCTCGTCGTTTCCCGACTTCCTCTCATCATATTCGCCATTATTTTTCTTTACCTCATGTGCTCTGATTTCGCTCGCTTCTTATCTCTTCTCTAGCTTCATTCACCTACCTCTCATATATTTAAGACCCCTCTGTACAGCTGTTCTATGTAGTTAACCTGGTATCGCTACTGGGCTCGATGTGAATAGGTTGATGGAAGATTCTTTTCAACGACGCACAACTGTTCGATGTAATGCCTAAACGAATCTTCAAGGCAAGAAATTTGGTGGTAGTAGTATAGTTCTTGTTATTATGCTTCGTACGATTGTATGATATATAGTATGGAGAATGCAGGGCTAACTGTGTTGTGTAAATAAAATTATTTGTTTAAGCAAGCATCTATGAAATCCAGTAACCTCTAATAATCTAATTAATACAAAAATATTCGTATTTTTTTCAATTTATAATATAGTAATGACAAATGTTTTCAGCCTTCAACTTCCATTATTCTTCACCCTGGCCTTCTTATCTGGAGGTACTAATTCTTTAGTTAACTAATACTTCTGTCTTTTTAACTATATCAATATATTGTGCTTTAGTTAACTATAAAGTAGAGTAACTAGTCTCAAGCAAACATATAACACAAATGAATCCAACTAACATGATCATACAAACAGTAATTCAACAAAAAACACACAAACAACATACGATTAACACATGGTAACACAAACACACCGGAAGGAGAGATTAATGAACCGGTTATAATATCAAAATTATATTGCCAAGTAAGAGTACATGAGACATAGTGATGAAACCAATGAACCGAGTAGTTTCAGATCGCAATCATGTAGTCGAGTGAGAATGAGAGATTACAGTCAAAATCGGGACTACGAATGCCTGGTGAGTGAGAATCGAGGATGAGAATCAACAAATCAGAATCAATCTCGCACTTCTCAAGAAACGTTAAATGAGTTTTCCATATCATTTCTTGTTTTCTTTTCCACTTTATGGATATCTTTCTCGCCTCCTAAGAGTGGCAGGAGTAGAAGTCTCCAAACTCATTCAATTCACTGTCACATCAGCTTCAAATCAGTTTTTTTGTCACATTTTTTTTTATATTTCCCAAACCACAACACATGAAAATAGCATATTCCAAATCTATTTTTTTAACAAGAAAAAAGATTTCTTTGATAAGAGGACACCGAGAGCCTAGAGTTCCACATAATTGATACATTCTATTTACATCATTTTTGCCAATCTACTTGCCACATCGTTTATTTTAATTATTAAAAACATACAAATTAATTCATGAAATATAAAATTAATTCATATAAACAAAATATTAATTATATTGGATAGTATTATACCTTTTCAAATTAAAAAAAAACATTATATATATATATATATATATATATATATATATATATATATATATATATATATATATATATATATATATATAGAGAGAGAGAGAGAGAGAGAGAGAGGAATGATCATTTGAGAACTCATAGTTTCGCGAGAACCTAAGAACTAAAAATGGACCTTTGGATTAAAAAAAATTAAAGACTAAGATCCTTTATGACATTTTTGTAAATAATTGGGTAAAAAACACGGGAGGGTACCTAAAAAAAATAACATAAGGACATTTTAGGGATAAACCTAAATAAACATATCGGATCCTCTCTCTCTCTATCGATCATTCCCTTTTCCCGATTCTTCACTGACTCCATCGACCTCCTCCCTAATTCCATCGGCACCTCCCTCCACCTCCGCCTCCGCCTCCAACGCCCACCCCTACCTGTATCAACGGCCAACACAGTCTAGGATTTGTTGTTGTCGATCAGCTCGACTCCATTGAAGGTGCGGTCTCTTCTCCTTCATCCATACGTCTGTAGAAGACCACTCATACATCGACCTACCATTCTCTTCGCCGAAGATCCTCCAGCCTCTCTCTCATCTCTGTCAAGCATCAATAATTCATCATTAATCGAAAAAAATCGATTAAGCTCATGGATCGCAAATACCAACCGCCTCCATCTCATCTGATCGCCTCCATCTACAAATCAGAATCGATTTCTCGCATTCTGTTTCGATTTGAATGCTCTGGTCGATCTCTTTCCTCTAAATCAATCTAGTTTGGTGAATTTGTTATGCATTACAGCAATCGTAAATTAACTCAGGTTCGTCTTTTAATCCTCAATTAGAATCTAATGCCTCATGTTGATTGTGTTTCTTGAAGCTATTTTGAAATTGTTGATTATCTTTTGATTATTTATTTATGATTTATTAATGGATCTTTGTAATTTTGATTACCTGTATTCCTTTGCTATTACATAAATCTCCATCTTCATCGCATTCCAGAACTCACCACACCGATGGCGGTGTCGATCCGAATTCCATAACTAGAGTCTGAAATCCATCGTCTCCTCCGTCAATTGTCTCTTTATTCATTGCATCAAGTAAGGTGAAGACTCTACGCAGATCGTTGAAATGCAGGATCCTTCGAATCTGAATTCTTAGCCACAAAATACAGTGGCGTTTCCGTTTAGGTCGTGTCATCATCCACTCCGTCTCCAGTAAGTTCATTCTCATGTGCAATTTCTTTGTTGCTCATTACTCGAATTTAGCATTTCAAGTTCACTACAGTGAACGACTAGGTTTAATTATAAAAAGAAAAAAGAAGGCAAACAATGCTTTTAAATATTGGTGCTCGATCAAAGTTCAGTGGATCATTCACCCGAGTTACTATGGTAAAAGCTTTTCATTTAGCTATGGATCCATTCAGATATTCATTACTAACTTCATCAATTGGCTTTATATACAGGATGGTTCCAAAGTTTTAGTTAAAGGAAACGCTTGTTCTGATTCTCATGATTCATTGCTTAAAGGTCATAAAAACCAGCTTGATTCATCAAAAAAGATGCCATGAGAGAGTAGAAGAATGCCAACAACAAACAAGAATATCCTTCGGTTGCTCCATGATTTTACTAATCAGTTCCTGTTAGGAGGGTATAATGGTAATTACTGTATTCTCAATGAAACTACCTGTTGTTATCCGCGGTGTCATTACTCATTACTAATCAGTCCATATGTGTTCTCAATTGTGTTAATGCAGTCAATTCGTGAGGATATTGAGAAAGAACACCATGCTATTGAAAACAGTGATGTTGTTATATTCTTTCAGGTTGTTGAATTTATTATGTCTTTCTAGAATCACAAGTTACTTGCTAGCTGTGGGATTTGTTTTATTGTTTTTGGCACCATTTGTCAGCGAATGGGTCCCCTTTTACTACACCAGTTCCATGGCTATTGGAGTTCTAGCTGTTGTTCTCATATTACTCTATCAGGTACGTCTCTCTCTCTCTCTCTCTCTCTCTTATCAGTAGACTGAAGAAAAGGAAATATATTTTCTTCTGTTGTGTAATGCCATTTTTAGCAATATCTTTAATTGTTTTCTAATTATATTATCTTTATTGTTGACCAGGCAAGGAAATTGTTGCCAACTGGCAGGAGAAATGCATTTTACCTTGGTATAATGTCCACATTAGTAAGTTTCTTCCCCCTTACAGTTCATCTAAGTTGATAGCAACAACTCATATACAGGATTTGGGACACCAAGTATCTTTTGTGGTTTCTAAAATGTTTTATTTTTTGCTTTGTATTCTGTAATCTTTCCAGCTTGGAGCAGGATCTTTTGTGGTGCATAGCCTCTCAGCATTTTTGAATTCATTTCTCCAAAACTTTGGGATAAGTCAAGAAGTCCAGAACCCAGTAAGTCCCTCATTTTTACACTATTGGTTACTTTACGGTTTAGAATTATATCTATTGATCTTACAGAAAAGTTTATTTAACCTTGTAGGTTTCTGTTTTTGTGGTGCTTGGAATCATTTTGTTAGGAGCTGGTTTCGGATATTGGATGGTGAGGAAATATATTATTTCTGAAGATGGAAAAGTTGATGTTGGAGTTGCAGTCACATGTATTATCCTGGTAGGTTACTATATTCATTAATTAAACTCATATTTCCAAAAGTGGTTCATGATTTAATGAATTCTATGTTTTACTTGCTTATAGCTGAGGCTTGTGTTATCTTTTTCAAAGAATGAAAGACACCCCTTTGGAAATGGCTGCAGTGGGGTCTTGTTTGGGTGTATACTACATGATCACGAAGATTGTAAGGAAAATGCCATGTAGGATCTATGCAACCCTCAAAGAGCTCAGCCTTGGTATGATGGAGAAGGAATGGAATGTATCATTCCATTGGCATGAACGATTCCTGAATGAATGTAATTCCTTCCATTTTTTGGAATTTATGAAGAGGAACAATTTTGTTAGCCCTAAAGTTGCTTATGAAACAACAACTGTTTTGCAGATACAATTAGATGAATTTTACTAAATTTAACTATATATATATATGAGAAACTAATATCTTGCTCTTTGATAAAACTATTACAAAAAAAAAAGATTTACTAATTTCCTGTATTTCTTCTTGCAGAATGTATCATTCCATTGGAATGGACGATTCTTGAATGAATGTAATTCCTTCTATTTTCTGGAATTTATGAAGAGGAATAATTTTGTTAGCCCTAAAGTTGCTTATGAAACAGCAACTGCTTTGCAGGTATAGTTGGATGAATTTTACTAAATTCAACTATATATATGAGAAACTAATATCTTGCTCTTTGATAAAACTATTACAAAAAAAAAGTTTGCTAATTTCCTGTATTTCTTCTTGCATTTGCAGATTTGCTCTTGATATTGACCTTGATGCTCCAAAATTAGAATTCCAATAAGAGTAAATGCCTCATCAAAGTATAACAATCATTTTCGTTTGGATTTTGGTCATTTTACATTGAGGAAAGAGGTATATTTTAATTAATCTTTGGGATATTTTCTGTTCCATCATTGATTTCTGATTCGGTGACCAATAAACTAATCCATTAGTATAATATATAAATGAAAATATAATTTTATTGAAGTATTTTGGTTGCAAACTTTACATATGAATTACATGTGATTCACATGTAAATCACATGTAATTTACATATGATTCACATGTAAATCACAAGTGAATCACATATGAATTACATGTGATTCACATGTAATTTATATGTGATGTAAATCACAAGTGAATCACATATGAATTACATGTGATTCACATGTAAATAGCATGTAATTCACATATGATTCACATGTGATTCACATTTTAATCACATGTAATTCACATATGATTCACTTGTGATTCACATGTAAATATGAATTACATGTGATTCACGTGTAAATCACAAGTGAATCACATATGAATTACATGTGATTCACATGTAAATAACATGTAATTCACATATGAATTACATGTGATTCATATGTAATTCACATATGATTAATTTGTGATTCACATGTAAATTACAAGTGAATTACCTATGAATTAAATGTGATTCACAAGTTAATCACATATGAAATATATGTGATTCACATGTAAATCACATGTAATTCACATATTAATCACATGTAATTCACATGTAAATCACAAGTGAATCACATATCAATTACATGTGATTCACATGTAAATCACAAGTGAATTACATGTGATTCACATGTAAATCACAAGTGAATCACATATGAATTACGTCTATATGCACACGTGCATTTTGTGTAAGTGTTCTTCGTTAATTATTTTTAAAATTTTCTTGTGAATTTCACATTTAAATCTTAAAAGATACAATCACATGTGAATATCACATTATATAATCACATGTGAATCTTACATGATATATACATGTGCGTGTTCTTGCATTAATCAATTTTTTTTATTTCCCTATAGATTTTAAAGAATTTTGGAAAATATTGAAGATGTGAAAAGTGATAAATTGAAGAAAATATGGAAATCTTGATATGAAGAAATGATAACACTGTGAATCTTTGTAGTTTTTTTATATTTTATTTTGTATCGAATAAAATACTTGTATTATGTTTATAGATTTATTAATAAAAATGAGATTTTTTATAATTTACTTACGAATATTATAGTATAAGAAATATGCATATATGCATTTGAAAAAATATGCATATATGCACCTAAAACGTTGATTTTTTTGTTAAAAAAATGCAGTTTTGAAAAAAAATTCACTTTTTTATAAAAATCGCAGTTTTTTTTTTTTTTTTGAAAAAAAATGCAGTTTTTCTGAAAAAAAAAATGCAGCTTTTTTGAAAAAAAAATACAGTTTTTTTCTAGAAAAAATGCAGTTTTTAAAAAAAAAAATGCAATTTTTTTTTGAAAAAAAAGATTCAGTTTTTTAAAAAATATTTTTTTCATTTTTTTTGAAAAATTCATGTTTTTTTAAAATAATTAAAAAATCTCCATTTTTTAAAAAAATCGAAAATTATTTTTTGAAAAAAAATAATTCCGAAATTTGGAGTTATTTTGTTAATTTTCAGACATTTATATTAATATATTAAATAACACAAAAAAATTAAATATTAAATTAGATTGGTAAGATGACGATCATGTCCTTAACGAATTACTTTTGATCCAACGCTCCACTTTTAGTTCTCGGGTTCTCGGGAAACTTTGACTTCTCAACCGATCTCAACCCTATATATATATATATATATATATATATATATATATATATATATATATATATATAGATATATATATATATATATATATAGGGGACGGTTCACTTGAGATTAAAAAAAAGTAGAGATCTTGAGATTAAACATTAGCCATATATTTTTCATTTGCCGCTCTAATGCTCCAGCGTACCGGCAACAATGGGGTATGCCTAATCAAAAATGATTATATGGCAGAGAGGTATAATCATATAGGATTATACATGTTTATATGTATATGCCTAATCATTAATGATTATACATATATGTCTGTTCACAGATTGAGTAATCATAAATGATTATGACAGTTGGTAGCAGAAGAGGTGGTGGTGACAGAGGTGGCGGTGATATAAGTAACGGAGGTGATAGTGGTGAGGTTGACTGGTATCAGAGGTGGTGATAGTGGTGGTGGTGGTGGCAGTTATGGTGGTGGGGATGGTGACGGAGGAGAAAGGAACGGGTGACACTGTATAACCATTATTATTATACCAGACATGCAGCGCCGGTACTTGGTTGTATTAATCCTATTAACCTATTTTGTTATGATATTAATGGCATTTATGAACTTTTATAAGAAATCAGTCATATTTAATTTTTTAAAATTCAATAAATTGGCAATTAATGGTCTCCGATTAATCTCCGCCTAGCCGATTAATCATTTAAGCTCAGTCCACCGACTAGCTAACATTGAGCGGTTTTTACAACCTTGATATATATATATATATATATATATATATATATATATATATATATATATATATATATATATATATATATGTATGTGTGTGTATATGTGTGTGTGTGTTTGTTTGTTTGTTTGTAAAGAAGAGAGAGAGAGAGAGAGAGAGAGAGAGAGGGAGGCGGGGGGGGGGGGGGGGGAAGATCAAAGTAAAGAATCAGAGTGAATTATGCCAGTAAAACTTTCATTATCTATTCTTTAACAGACAGTGAAATCACTCCGGAAGCAATGAAAGCAATTGAAACCTTCGAACAACCCTTCGAAAAATTTTCTCATCAATTGGCTGAATTACCTGCTGATATCAAAAAACAACTTTGTAAACATATTATGCATGCACCAAGACACAATTGCAGTCATTGTTCAGAAAATACAGAAGAAACACCATTTATGGAAGATTAACATCAGCCATGATACAAGCAAACATTATTAAAAAATATGTCTTTTTGGAGGCGGGAGGAATGACGTAAGACATGACATAAGAAGCAAGGGATGCATTATTGAAGACATATGGCCTTTCAAATATGGAAAAGATTTGTAATTTGTCTTTTCTAATAATGTTAAGTGTCGGTAAAAATAATTGAGTAGTATAATGTGACATAAAGACCTATGTAAAGTAGTTTGTCTTCTTGCAATCAAACGATTGCAATAATGTAAAGATTCCGTGTGTAATTAGCTCTTTGGAGCCTATATAAAGGGCTTTGCCCTTAGTGAATAAAGCAGAGTGATTTGTGATAAAGATTTGAGTTGTTCTCAATCTTCTTCTGTTGAAATAGTTTTCTATTTCTGAATAGCAGAACCCTATCCAAACATATCAAATATAATCATTCATACACTTCAAACAATCCATCATCAATCCATTCCGACGCATCATTCAGGTATAATTCTATCTTAATTATATTATTTCCGTCATGTTTTTCAATTTGGTATCAGAGCTAAGTAACGTTCTTATTATTCAATATATCGTTAATAAGAAAATATACATATGCAGCATCATAAACATGATAATGAATAACCATTGTTTTTAAATATTCATATTTAAAAAAGTTATCAACAATTAAAATATTTATCGAAAGAAGATTTAATACCATAAATATGTCTCAAGAAATAGAAAACTCACCAATAGTTATTAATAACGAAGAAAATGAATCTGGATACACTTTTGATGCTTTAATTAATAAAAATAACATCAATAAAGACGCTATAAGAAAATCAAATTTCACACTATCCGAAAGACACAATTTTAGACATAACACATTTAAAAATTTCTTTTCTAGAAAAAATATTATATATTATGGAAAAATTATAGGAGAACAAGCAATACCTATAGAATTAACTCAAGGAAATATTACTGTACCCATAATAAATAAACAACAAATTAGAAATAGATTATCTCATATTAAAGAAACAGATAGAATAAAAACTGCTTATATTCATATATCGACTATTCAAATAATCTTAAAAAGTACTGTCAGTAATTTAAATACACCAATAGAATTAGAAATCAGAGATGATCGTATAATTGACAACCAAGAAAGTATTATTGCAAAAGGAGAAGGTAATTTAATTGAAGGAAAAATAAAATTTGATATTAATATTCAATTAGGATTAAGTCTTAAAGATAAAAATTTAAGCAATAGTATTACTGTACGATATAAATTATTAAGACAAAATTTTATGATAAAAGGTAATCATCCATTTACTATTACATATCAAATAAATTATGCATTAACAAATTCTCATCATAGTATACATTTAAAACAGAAGATAGAATTTATATAGATAAATTATTTACCCCTTTATTATCCCTTGAATCACCAAATATGACTAATAATAGAATATTCAA